AAGGTCTGGAAACAAGTCTCAACAAGCAAAGCCTATCCACTATGCCAGTGGTTCTCAACCTGTGGGTGCCCAGGTGGTTTGGCCTTCAACTCCCAGAAATCCTAACAGCTTGTACATTGACTGGGATTTCTGGGAATCCTAGGCCAAAACACCTGGGGACCCACAGGTTGAGAACCACTGCACTATGCTATCCTTGGGACTATGAAGTCCAAATGGTCTTAGAGCAGTGGTTCTCAACCTGTGGGTCCCCAGGTGTTTTGGCCTAGGATTCCCAGAAATCCCAGCGAGCTTACCAGCTGTTAGGATTTCTGGGAGCTGAAGGCCAAAACATCTGGGGACCCACAGGTTGAGAACCACTGTCTTGGAGGCTTCTGGAGGACCTCCAGACCACAGACCCCAAATCTTGCGTGAATCTCTTTTCCCTCCCCATATTGCCCCCTACTATTAATGTCTCGCGAGATAATACACTGGAAAACTCAACAAATCTCCATAGTTCAGCAAAGGTTTCACTGGAATGAGGAATCAGCAGCAGCTCCACATTTGTTTGTACTTCACCCCAAATCCAAGTTCAATGCTCCTTTTTCAGTTTCAATGGGAAGGCTTTCTCTGAGAAATTGAAGAAATGACAGAGTACGGATGGGGAGATTTCCCTCTTTTATGAAAAGATAAAAAAGGAGACACTTGCCGTTAATCAAGCCCTCTCGTTCTGCGCTGCAGAGAGGCTGTTAAGCCAGGGACCAAAAAGGGACGGCAGGCAGCTGTTTTTGTCAGCTGCTTTCCTTTAATAGCAGGCCCATCACAAAGGAAAGCTGCTTCCATTGAACTAAAAGCAAAGCTCGGGAAGAGCGTATTAACCCAAAGCCATCTCTGTAATGGGACTAGCGTTTTGATCACCAATCGGGGGCCCAGATTAAGCCCTGCTGGCCTCCTTCGCTCCCCATTCCTCCCTCTGGCAAGAGGCCCAGCCCTACCCTTGGCTTCACACACATCTAGAGCATTCTGGGACACCCTGAAGGGTAAAACAGACCATGTTTGGGGATGGGGGTCCTCTGTCACCCACCAACATGCACCTCCTTTCTTTCTCTCACTCTCCAAAACACACACACACACACACACGTATGTAGGAGCAGAGTGCTCCCTGGGAAATTAACACGCTCAACTTGGACAACCTTGCAAAGCAGAGCAAGAGGATTCCCGGCCCTCCCCTCGCCACCTCAAAGAGGATTACTTGCAAGGAGACCTCAAATCCACTCCTGGGAGTACACAACAAGCCAGGTAATCCCCAGGCCAGGTGTCCTCACTTGCCACACCTCTTGCGCCTCCCATGCAAGTGAGTGAGAGAACGAGCGGCCTCTCGAAGGCCAAGCACCGGAACTGGCACAAGCAAGTGTTTCTTCTTCATGGAAGCTCCTAGGTGTATATAATCCAGATCTAGCACTCCCTCATCTAGCCAGTATGCGCTACCTCCAACACGGGGCACAAAAGCAAAGACCCTGATGCTCTTTAGTGGCAAATGGCTTGTGCATCTCTTTGAAAATCTTTGAAAGCTGCTTTTTCTTTCCTTCTTTTTTAAACTTTTTCTTGTGCTTTATCTCTCCTCCCATCACCCCCAACTTATATTTAAAAGCTCCCTTTCTGTTCCCCAAAAATGAGGTTAACTATGGAATTATCTGTTTCCTGACTTTGCATGGACAGGCAAAACCAGAGGTAATAGCAAACTCTATTTAAAGGAAGGGCATTTGGCCCAAGGATAATATGGAGCTTCCTATCTGGATTGTTGAAGGCTTTCATGGCCGGAATCACTGGGTTGTTGTAGGTTTTTTCAGGCTATATGGCCATGTTCTAGAGGCATTCTCTCCTGACATTTCGCCTGCATCTATAGCAAGTATCCTCAGAGGTAGTGAGGTCTGTTGGAACTAGAAAAATGGGTTCCACATTCATTTATTTATTTACTTCATTTATATACCGCTTTTCTCAGCCCTTAGGCGACTCAAAGCGGTTAACAACAGCAATTTCAATGCACACATTACAAAACAATTGATGCATTTAAAAAACAATAGCATAATAACAATTAAACATCAATATAACAAATCATTCACGTCTCATCAATAGAATTCAGTTCCACAGATATATAAACCCATTTTCCTAGTTCCAACAGTCCTCACTACCGCTGAGGATGCTTGCCGTAGGTTTTTTGGAACTAGGAAAATGGGTTCCACAGATATATAAACCCATTTTACTAGTTCCAGCAGACCTCACTACCTCTGAGGATGCTTGCCATAGATGCAGGCGAATCGTCAGGAGAGAATGCCTCTAGAACATGGCCATATAGCCCAAAAAAAACCTACAACAACCCAGCTTCCTATCTGTCAGCGAGGCCTTGGCTGAAACTGTCTTCAAATCAAGATTGCAAAATGTCACTCGAACACATTGCTAGCAAGCTGGGACCATCTGGGTCAGCCAATCTGTAGGAAAGGTTATCTCCTAGGCCTCCCCACTTGCCCTGTGCCAGAAACAAATGTAGCATGGAAAGAGTAGGGCAAAACTCAATGAGCATAAAAAAGATCAAGTCCAAGTCAGTCAGTCCTCCACGTTTGCTGGAGTTCAGGCCACAGGATCTCCCATGAAACTGGGGGGGGGGGGGGGGGGGGATGTAAATAATAAACCCTTTTTTTACCTGAGATATTCCTAGTACAGCTCAAGGAATAACTATGTCTTCCAGCATTACTTTATAGTTACCATCCACTAGAAACTGATCACAGATTTGAACTAGAGAACCTAGAGATTCCCTCTCTAGGAATATCTGTGTCCTCCAGCATGGATGATATGGTCAACGTCTAGTGGAAGCTGACCATAGAACTGGAATAGAGTACCTAGAGTTTCCCAGAGAAAACATTTAAAATCAATTTCAGGAATAATCAATCCGTACAAGTCCAGCCTATAAATGTGGAGGGATAACTGTAGCATTTCAGAATTTTTAAAATTCAAAACAAAATTTATATTCAAAACTACCTCACAACCTCTGAGGATGCTTGCCACAGATGCAGGTGAAACGTCAGGAGAGAATGCTTCTAGAACATGGCCATACAGCCTGAAAAACCTACAACAACCCAGTGATTCCAGCCATGAAAGCCTTCAACAATACACAAAACTAGCAATTCCACAGGTTGACTGAATCAACCACGTCAGGTAATCTTTGCAGAAATATAACTAAAGCCAAGTTGCCCAAAGGTTCATTCCTTTCACCAGCCTCAAGTTTTCTTAGGACTTCCATTTTTGGTGGGCAAACCTAGGAATCTCTGTTTTTGTCACATGCTAGGAGTAAACAGGCTGTTTGCTGATTTCCCCAGACACACACCATGCCCCCAATTGTCCCAGCTTTGTTTTCAGCCTTTTGCAGGGGGAGGGGGAAATCTGGGACACAACAGGCACTCTCTTTTTCCTCACTGCCTCCTTCCTGGCCTTGTTTTGGAAGAAGACAGGACTAAAGAAGGCCTGAAAGGAACCCAAATTTACAGAATAAAATGCAACTTGTCAGGTGAGGATGGAATGGATGCACACAAATGCCACAGAGGGGTCTTTCCAGCGCAGGCCTTCTTTTCATTTTGTTGGATAGTGATTGCTTCCTTAAGAGTGAGCCATCCTGCAGTGAACTACTGATCACATTTGGGGAATTTACTTTTCTGGATTTCAACCACAAGCAAATACCGCCAGTGGCTACTTACCACTTCTGGCAACTTTGTCCAATGTCAGAACTGACCAACTTCCACTGAAACATCCTTGTATTATATGTTGCACTTGATTTATACAATACATATTAGGGCAGGTCATTAAAGATGGTCTAGGTCTTGATTTCCATACACAAACCAGCAAGAGGCACAGGATGACTTCTCTTGAGATCTGCTGCTTACATGTTTGAAAATTAAGTTTCTCGCCATAAGGTAGCACAGAGAAGCTTCAGAGGGCTTTGGCCAAAATGTTGCCAGGACGGCTGAGTACAAGGGCAAAGGCCCCAGTGCCCTGCCTTTGAGGAGTGAAGAAAAAGAAATTCAGGCTAAAGAAGAGAATGCCAGCCATCAAAATGCCATTTCTGCTCACTCTAGCATTCCACATGGCGCTTCCTACAACTCTGATTCTTCCAGAAAGTCAAGTTATTTACAGAATAATGACCTATATGGTGCTTCACAGAGTAACAGAAGCGTAAGATGGAGTCTCAATCTGATCTGACTGATGTGCTAAGTTCAACTTTCCTGAGATGTGCAAGCGAAGAAAGGCGATCCAGGGCTACAAGAAGGATGTTTATCTCCTGGAGTCCCACTGACTATGATACATACTATTATGACTCCAACAGGTAATATTTCCAAGAAGCTGAGGCTACCTGTCTCCTAACCTTTCTCTGCATACATGCATCTAAACCGCCCTACAGGATGCATCACTGCCACCAATATGACAAAACCCTGGTATTTAAAAACTAGTATTGAAAAACTGGATTAAGAACAAAGGAAGGGAACTATCTAAGGCAGAGTATTCAGTATGGGTGTTTTAAGAAGATCAGAAATGACAGAAATTCTGGAGACAATTCAGGGTACGCAAGTAAATGGAAGAGTAAGAAAGCAGCATATTGCATTGGCAAAGCAATTCCCAGAAGATTCCGCTACATGGCAAGGCAGCAATGATCTCATCTGCTCCTAATGCAATGACCCTAATAGTCCCACAAGGCCTCACAACAAAGTCTCGGGGACAATCTCCCGCATTCTCCCGCCTTTCCCTACTCAACTTGGAAGGCTTCCATTGTGGCATATGAGGAGCCAAAGCCACTTGTGTGGCACCTAGCAACCAAGCAAGGATGCCTTACAACAGCTGACTCCTTTGAGGCTGCCTATAATTCCTGAATAAGAGCAAGGTGGGCTTGTAACTTGTGGGCTAATTTGTAGGGCTGGCAACAGCCGGCACATGCCAAAGTGTACAGCGGGGTTCCCAGAGCAAAAAACAGTTCTTACCTTAAGCAGATAATCCCTTAGTATGTCCTGGATCTCTCAAACGGCTTATCTGCAGAATAAAAATAAAGAAGAGGAGCTGTTGACCAGTATTTTATAGCAGGCACACATACACAGGATAACGTGGTCCTCAGACTGCCGTGGTTGCCCGCACCTCTGTAGTGCCTTGCCCTCCTTGCCCATTGGCCTCTCCTCTGCTACTCAGCCCCCCGCCCACCTCCTCCCCCTGCAACCAGGAGTCAAGAGAGTCATTAGGATCCTAATCCAGATCTGGAGGCTTCTTACCCACCGCTCAGTATAAACTTCAATTAAGGTAATAGCCTAGGCAGCATCCCATTAAGGCAGGCCGAGGCAGAGGGAAGGCGCACCAGCCCTTGGAAAGGTACAGAGTTCTTCCCCCCGTCTCATGAACACAGGACTGGTTTTGGTTTTTGGCCAAAGCACACACATGCTGTAATCACCTGCACACTCACTTCTACTCAAGCAAACCATGATGTCACCAGAGAATGTCCAGCACTTCCAAGATACATTGACACAATGCATAGCAACCAGCTGTCTGTACACAACTGTGCAGAACACAAAGGGAAAGAGGAGGCCTAACCCCCATTAATACACCAGAAGACCCAAAGGAAGTTCAAACCGATCCAACTCCTCTTGCTGCTGCATCAACCACTAATGGAAACTTGCTATACCACATGTCTTGTGAACCTCCCAATAAAAAGCTTCATATGTGAGAGGATCCCAGCTCTGCTACTGTTCAACCCGTAATCATTCCAATAAGTCTGCATATTCTATGGAAAGAGCTACACGCTACAAACAAAACCATCTGAAAGCCATGCTTTCTGATCAGATAAAATCCTGGTCAATGGTAAAGGCGGAGGCAACTGCCTCAAATAGGAGGACACCTAGCAAAGCATCTACTGCATCGTTTTCTACTCCCTCCTCTCCCATTTGGACATTTCTTGGAAAACAGGAGTCAGCATTTTTGAAACCCTGCTTTTAAAATTAAAGGGGAACTCAAAGATGAGCAGAACAGTGACTAAGGATAGTGCCGGCAAGGATTTTATCATCTACGCTCCGTATTTTGCCAACTTTGTTGCATGGAACAATGGAAGGACACCATGGATGATGCCATGAAGCCCAGCCACACCCAGCCCACAGCTGTGAATCCGAAAGCAGGAACAGGTGACAGAATGACATAACTTGCATGGAACACCATGTTCCTCTCAGGTAACTCATCATGACATATAGCAAGAACAGAGCAGAGGAATGCCATGCGCCAACCATGATTTATTGTCAGTACTAAACACTAACAAGACAGTCCTTGCGTCACAAATATCCAACTTCTAAACGACTCATAGTTAACAATGGGAGTAAAACAAAAGGAAGTGAGAGAAATCTGCCCCCAAAAGGGAAATTCACTCCTGGAAAAGTTATGATCATGGGTGAAAGGTGTCTCCACTGAAGCTTTCTCACCAGTCCTTGTTTCCATAACAAGCCACTTTTTCCAAAATCCAAGGGACAGAAAGTGAGGTGAAACCTTCTGAACACAGGCACAGTCAGCAAAACAAACCCCACAGAGATGTTCACCCATCCCTATGCGATCCAAAGCTTATATATACATGAGCATTCTAACTGGAGGCCAGCTGTGACCAACACTGCTGTGAAATTTGAAGAGGCATGAATGGAGGGTGAAAGGGAGAAACGTGTCAAGAGGAAGGCACGTCACGCTAACTCTGACTGGGACTGCTTTTCACTTGGAAATTGATGTCCTCACTGTGGAAGAACATGCAGGTCATGAATAGGTCTCTACAGTCACCAATGGACCCACCATCAAGAAACTACACTTGGAAAACAATCATGCTCAGACATGAGTGATCGCTCTGTGTGTGTAGGGGGGGGGGGGTGGCTGGAGATATACCTTTAAAATATCCCTGTTCCAACTTGCATACACATTCAACTGATGAACAAATCTACAGAACCCATTTTGCTCGTAACTAGGGACTACCTGAATAGTGAAGGTGGGCCAGAGAATCAGTGAGCGTTGGTTGATCATCTGGAGAACATGAGTTAAGACACAGAAGTCAAGTGTATCATTCCATAACATGCAATTGCTAATGCCACAGCTGTGTGGACACAAGCATTTCCTTCAACAATATGGATTCAATTCATGTTTTACTGATACCTGTATACAAAGATCGGAAAAACCCTGTCAATCCCAGATGATGTCATAATAAAATGGTGTCCCTTGTATAGAATGGAAAAATCAAGGTTGGGATTTTTTTGGGGGAGGGGGGGCAATATTTTCAAGTCGTGAGTGGTTCAATCTCTGGATGCAGAATCCATGGATACAGAGGGCCAACGCATTAACTGCAGATGAAACGTGTTCTCCTGGGATCTCCATTCCCCAGCACAAGATGAGCAATCACCATGGTTTGTAGTGAAATAGGATTTGCTTTACTGAGAGGAAGAATACGCATTCCAGGGCTCCGGGCAGTTCCCAAGAATAATAATCTTGCAAGACCATCCTCTGGCAGCAATACCACTTCCTCCATCTCTGCTTCTCCCTGGGATTTAGGACCAAAAAGGCAGCTAATGTAAGTTCTCACTTCAAGGCTGGACCTCAATCAGCTGCAGGAGAACCCACAATTTGCCATAACTAGATGCATCTTAAACACGCTAAAGGCACGTTGAGACAGGCAAAATAATTTCAGACTAAAGCAGGCATGGGCAAACTTTGGCCCTCCAGGTGTTTTGGATTTCAACTCCCATGATTCCTAACAGCCAGTAAGCTGGCTGTGATTTGTGGGAGTTGACGTTTTCTGCTTCCCTGGAGACTTGGACGTAGAACAATGGCTTCAAACTACAAGAAAGGAGATTCCACCTGAACATGAGGAAGAACTTCCTGACTGTGAGAGCCGTTCAGCAGTGGAACTCTCTGCCCTGGAGTGTGGTGGGGGGCTTCTTTGGAAGCTTTTAAACAGAGGCTTGATGGCCATCTGTCAGGGGTGCTTTGAATGCAATATTCCTGCTTCTTGGCAGAATGGGGTTGGACTGGATGGCCCATGAGGTCTCTTCCAACTCTAGGATTCTATGATTCTACATCTGGAGGGCCGAAGTATGGGCATGTCTGGACTAGAGAAAGACTGTCATTTTGCTTTCTCAAATTCAATTTTTAGAAGACAAGTTCAATGGATCAACTTGCGCAGGGAGGCAGGCATTATCAAGCTATGTCTCAATTGCACTATTTTGAGGACCCTGGGCATTCAGACAAAACATGTCTCTTCATCCAGAAAGCAGGTGATCTTCTTTCATTGACATGTTCATCCTCTGCGTGGACATCTCTGCTTGGGAGCTACCTTCAGGAACAGGTGCTCCATTTTTCAGTTGGTACCTATGCTGCCTCAATGCTCTGAGAAAGTGAGGCCAGGCTTGGGGAACGAAACGTGGAAGGCACTCTGTGGCTCTGAAACAGATAGCTGTGGCTTTGCTGTCTTCGCTGAGTTCTTTCCAGACTGATGGGCACATGCCGCCCAGAGCATCTGGGGGTCTGCTCTCAGCCCCTATGGGCTCCAACCAAGCTTGCTGCATCCTCCCCATTTCCCCACACCTCCGTGCACACATTTGGTCTGGCCCAACCGATTTCCTTGTCGATAGACCCTGGGGAGCCTAGAACTGCAATGTGAAAACCAATGGCTCAGGAAACAGAGCAGAAACGTCCTGGGCTTCGAGAGGGTGCCATTCAGTGCCTCCACGTGCCTCGCTGACCCCCAGCTCTGTCCCTCCACTACATTTACAGCTAATCAATATATGCCAGGAAAGGCGAGATTTGTGCAGACTCACTTACAGTTCACCTTTTAACCTGCTCTAAAATTCAACTGCTTCAGGGCAACATTTGGGCTTCTGCTGGCATAAAAAGGATCACATTTTTAAAACAGGGCAATTTGGGTTGTGTATTCTCCCTGACCCCGGTGCCTGCCAACCTCTCATTCCCCTCACCCTCTCTTCTCCCCCATCCAGTAAAGCTTCCATGATTGGACATTTCCTATCAAGCATGCTCTATTTTCAGGACAGAAAGAGTTGCAGAATTATTATCAGTACTGGGTTTATTAAGTTTGACAGCCAATTGGAAGCAAACTTTTTTTTAAAAGGGAGCAGATGACAGAGGAGGGAGAACAGACTGCAAATGTGGGCAGGAGGAGGGATGGAGAAGGAAGTTGACTTCAGAGCCCAGTTCTGCTTCTGTCAGCAAAGCTCAAACGACACAAACACAATCTGCAAACCCCAAGTGGAACTGCTCGATCTCAGCCAAATTATTCATAGTAATAGAGGGCAGCCAACAACAGAACAGTGATATGACCCTAGAGTTGGAAAGGGGTCCATGTGGTCCATGGGCCATCATCAGTCCAGGCTCCTGCAATTCTGTGTAAGATCTCCAGCCAGAGCATCCTCAGCGGTTGGCTGCTCAATGTCTTTCTGGAGACTACTAGAGAAGGAGACCCCCTAAACTCTACACAACACAAAAGGTTGTTTTTTTCTGAGTAGAAATGAAATACTTCAAGGTCTGAAGGTATCTGATCGTAGTGTTGGCCTGCTTTCTAAACTTGCATTAGGCTTCCCAGCCCTACAGAGAAGTTCACTGTTACTCTGCAGATATGGAACCAGTCAGCAATCACATGACTTCTAATAATAATAATAATAATAATAATAATAACAACAACAATAACAACAACAACATCATCATCATCATCATCATCATCATCAAGAATCCATACTTTGTTTTTTAACACGATCGTGAGATCAGGAGTCTTGTGTTCCAAAACTTTGTCAATCTGAATTTGGAAGTCCCAGAGTAGCTTGACGTGTTCATTTTCTGTATCATTTTCAGGCCTAGGGAGTGTCCGACGTGTGATCCAATACAACAGCCAGCTGAGTGATCTTGTTTGCTATGGACTCATCTTGTTGTGTTTCAAATAATAATAGCAAAAACATTTATTTGTCACCCACCTCTTCTTACATCTTGAGGCAATGTAACCAAGAAGGACACCCAAT